ATGGTGAAACCCCGTCTTTAAAAAAAAAAAAAAAAAAAACCTAAAGCAGGTGGTTAGAGCAAAGCAGAGATAAGAACTTCCTGGAGCAACCCTTGTTCCTTCACGAAGACCCCAGTAGATACCCACTCTCGAATTCTGTCACTCGTTTCTCTTTTCCCAATCTCCTCTCTGAGCAAGGAAGGGCTGCTATCTGGGTCAGATACCACTCAGCTTTTGATCTGTAAAATGGGGAATAATCGTTCCTCCTGTGTTTTGTTTTGATTTTTTGGTTTTGTTTTGGGGACAGATCTCCCTCTGTTCCCCAGGCTGGAGCGCAGTGATGCAATCTCAGCTCATCGCAGCCTCTGCCTCCGGGGCTCAAGCTACCTCCCACCTCACCCTGCTCCCCAGCAGCTGGGACTACAGGCGTGCGCCACCACGCCTGGCTAATTTTCATATCTTTTGTAGAGATGGGGGTCTCACTTTATTGCCCAGGCTGGTCTCAAACTCCTGGGCTCAAGCAATCCAGCCTCTTAAGGTGCTGGGATTGCAGGCATGAGCCACCACACCCAGCCCCCTCCTCCGTTTTTGTGTGTTTAGCTAAAATGGCCCCTATGATAGAACTCAGCATACAGTGGAGAGTGTCCCCCTTCCCCTGGCTGTTTTTTCCGAGACCTGGGCCCATAAAAATGGCAGCTTGCCTTCACTGAGTGCTCAGAACTGCCCAGGCATCAGCCCTAAGGGCGTTATATGAAGTTATGTCTCATCATAACCCAGTGAGCTAGGTATTAATGTTATCCCTGTTTCACACATGCAGAAACTGAAGCACAGAGAGATTTAGTAACTCACCTAAGGCCACACAGCCTAGTAAGCAAAGGATCTGGGATTTCGAGCCAGGTCAGGCTCTGTGACTACACTTCACTGCCTGCTGTGAGTCCAGAATGCTTTTTGCCCCCTTGCCAGTGACCCAGGCTGGGGAAGAGAGGTGCCCGGCTGCAGGCGGTGGACATTGCTGAGAAAACAAGCCTGCTTCAGGGACCTGAAACGAAGTCAGCGTCTGACCTGCATGTCCCACTGGGTGGCTCAGGACAAAGAGGACAAACAGGCAGAGCGTTTGGGACTGAGGGAGTTGAGGCAACAGGATGCCCGTGTGCTTAGCATTTCTGGGGAAGAAAGAGGACTCTGTCCAGGTCACAGATGGTCTGAACCCCGCATTACCTCCACTGCCCCCTGAGGTTGGAATTCTTGACAGTTCCAAATCCGTTCCTTCACCCCTTCTCCCATTTCAGAGAGAGCTGGGCCTGGAACGGAGAAAGCCCAGCTGCTGCTGTCTGAGGGGTCCTGCCTGACTCCCTCTCTGACCCCCGTCCAGCCCTCAGCCCTTTTCCGTGCTTGGGAGAGGTCTGGAAATGGCTCTGGGCCTCTGCTCTGAAGCAAGCAGAATAATTCTGTCGCTGTTTGGGGATTTGAGAGTACATTCTCCAATCTCATGTTGCCTTAGAGATGAGGGGATTTCCACACCTCTCCCTGGAAGGGAAAACTGTGGGAGAAAACTGTCCTTTGACACCCTCTCCCACAATCCCAGTGGTAAGATCCAGGGCAGGGATGGAGGGAAGCTCAGGCCTTGAACCCACAGAGAGGAAGCAGCTGCTGTTCTCTCCATCCGTTGTGGACTTAGCAGGGCTGGTCCAACTCAGTGCAGGGCTGTGTGACTGCATGCGAATGTTAGGATGGTCACTGTAAATCTTTTTTTGTTTGTTTTCTTGAGACGGAGTCTTACTCCATCACCCAGGCTGGAGTGCAGTGGCGCCATCTCAGCTCACTGCAACCTCCGCCTCCCGGGTTCAAGCGATTCTCCTGCCTCAGCCCCCTGAGTAGCTGGGATTACAGGCGCCTACCACCACACCTGGCTAATTTTTTTTTTTTTGGTAGAGACAGGGTTTCACCATGTTGGCCAGGTTGGTCTCAAACTCCTGATCTCAGGTGATCCGCCCGCCTCAGCCTCCCATTTACAAGCATAAGCCACCACGCCCACCCAATCTTTTTTTCTTTTTTTTTTTTTGACATGGAGTGTCACTCTGTCACCCAAACTGGAGTGCAATGGCTTGGTCTCCACTCACTGCAACCCCCGCCTCCCGGGTTCAAGCGATTCTCCTGCCTCAGACTCCCGAGTAGCTGGGATACAGGTGCACGCCACCACACCCAGCTAATTTTTGTATTTTTAGTAGAGACAGGGTTTCACTATGTTGGCCAGGCCTGGTTTCGAACTCCTGACCTCGTGATCTGCCCTCCTTGGCCTCCCAAAGTGCTGGGACTACAGATGTGAGCCACGGCACCCAGCCTATAGGATGGTCACTATAAATTGATACCACGCCCTTTTTTTGAGCTTTAGTCAGGAATAAAGTTGATGTCTGTCTATGGTATCCTATCTTTCAATTGGTTCCCAGCCTGGGAAATGAGAAAAGTGATGTTATTTACTGTTCTCATGCCCCAAGCCCCACACATTCCCTAGTCAGCACACTGGGCTTGTAGATGACGCCCAGCTTAGTCCAGCTAGGAGAAGTGGGATGGAAAAAGAGGGGTGCAGGTGACAGGGCAGATGAAGCCAGGCACTGCCACACCCAAAGGATGCCTGAGCCACAGTTGACACTGGCCCTGTTGAGGGCTCACTTGCCATTGCATGACTCAAGGGGGTGCCACCATTGTGTCTATGAATGGTGCCTTCTGGAGCTGTATTCCAGGAGCTGCCATTCACAGAAGACACAATGGTGCTCCCTGGAGTGGTACAACAGAGTGCCCTGGGTCCCACTGTGAGGTAGGACAGGGCCGCACAGGAGGAGAAATGGGGCATTCAGGCCCCGAGGTTGAGAGGTCTGGTCAGGTAGACAAGGGGACGGAGAGGCAGGCAAGATCATAGCAGGTGGAGGTTTTGCTGCTCAAGAGCCTGTCCAGGAGTCAGAGGGAGTCAGTGGTCCCAGATGGGGCTTGGCCCAAGTAGCAAAGAGGGCTATAATTCAGGACAGCAACAATTATGAAGCCACCTGGGTGCCAACCCAAGTCAGACCTGATCTGGTTTTGAAACACTCACATTTGAGAATGGGTGCAGTGGCTCACTCCTGTAATCCCAGTGCTTTGTGGGGCTAAGGCGGCTGGATCAACTGAGGTCAGGAGTTCGAGACCAGCCTAGCCAATATAGTGAAACCCTGTGTCTTCCAAAAAAAAAAAAATTTAGACAGGCATGGTGGCACATGCCTGTAATCCCACTGTAATCCCAGCTATTCCGGAGGATGAGTCAGGAGAATCACTTGAACCCAGGAGGTGGATGTTGCAGTGAGCTGAGATTGTGCCACTGCACTCCAGCCTGGGCAACAAGAGCGAAACTCAACTCAAAAACAAAAAACATAAAAACAAAACAAAAAAACTCACATTTGAGGCCAGACATGGTGGCTCACACCTATAATCCCAACACTTTGGGAGGCTGAGGAGTGAGGATCACTTGAGACCAGGAGTTCAAGACCAGCCTGGCCAAAGTGGCGAAACCCCATTTCTACTAAAAATACAAAAAAAATTAGACAGGTATGGTGTCAGGCGCCTGTGGTCACAGCTACTGGAAGGCTGAGGCACGAAAATTGCTTGAGCCCAGGAGCCAGAGGTTGCAGGGAGCCAAGATTGTACCACTGCACTGCAGCCTGGGTGACAGAGCAAGACTGTCTCAACAAAACATAAAAAATACCGAGCATGGTGGCTCATACCTGTAATCCCAGCACTTTGGGAGGCCAAATCGGGTGGATCACCTGAGGTTAAGAGTTCGAGACCAGGCTGGGCGCGGTGGCTCAAGCCTGTAATCCCAGCACTTTGGGAGGCCGAGGCGGGTGGATCACGA